TCTGTGATTCTGTGATTCTGTGAATGTGTAATGGCATTCTGCATCAGAACACATCAGGTAGTAGTATATTATAGGAAGTAAACAGAAACAAAGCTCTCATGCAGTAAATTAGTTGGGTGGAGTATGACACAGCATGTCATCATTTTATTGCTGTTCAAATGTAGAAAAAGTGCAAAGACCACCTCTCAACAACTGTAAGTACAGAGCAAGTGGAGGAGCTTTGCTCAAGTGTATTCCTTCATTGTGATACAATCTCCTCATATGTCCATGAAAGGGTAGGAAAGGTGTAACTACCCAAACTTTTCCTGGGTCTGTGAAACTCATTCTTCAGTACTTGAATTTATTGCATTTAATAGTCCAACACTACTTTGTTATCTGCAGTTACCAGGATGCAAAAGACAAACTGGCTAAAACAAGGCTGCTGGCTCCAGCTTACTTTATACTGGGTGGAAAAAATTCTGGAGAAGGATGTGTAATAACGCGTTCCAGGACAGCTGCTCTGGATATCTGGGAGTGAGTATGCTTGACCTGACACCTGACTCAGCCCTCCAGAAGAGGACAGGTTCTGCCAATAATTGTGTCCTATGTTTCTTGTGTTCTTCTGTTGTGCAAGAATTTGCTTCTTTAGCATCACTAAAAAAAATCCATCTGTATATAGTATATACTATATATGTACTTACTATATACTTAGAGAAGAAAAACATAAATATATACCTCTTTTCCAGCCTTGACATCAAGAAAGGCACATGGTATGTGTTAGAAACAAACTATGATCGCTGGAAGCCCCCACTAATCTTGGATAATCGTAGAACACCTGCAATGAAATGCCTGAACCAGACAACGCAAGAGGTAAACATCCTCAAAAATACCTCACCTTGCTGTTTTGACACTCCTGAGTTACAGTACTGACCTGATACAGCCGGGAGCGTTGAGGGCATTTGCAAGCACTTCTGTAATGACAGAAGTGGCTAACAGTTTTGTGACAATTTGTCTGTGCTTCTGGGTAATAAAGTACCAGGTGGCTCTTTACATGGACGTTTTTAGTTTTACGCTTTCTCCTCATCTAGGTGGGTTTCCTGCAAGCATTTTCTGCAGCTCCATATGCAGGGGGATAAACTTGGAGATACTTTGAGAGAGATTTTAATTGTTTCCTGAGCTGTTTTATCACCAGTGAAATTCAAACACACACTGTCCAGCAGCAAATACTGACACTCAACTGTTCCATACTGTACTGAGATCTGGTCTGGTTAGGTTTTTGCAACCCATGTTCTGATCTCAAGATCTTAAATATCTGTACTCTTAAAGCGTTATCTTATTAGCTCATTAAGCAGTAAAAAACTTACAGTTCTTAGCATTTACACTAATGGGTTAATGTCCATTATCATCAAAGTATTATTTTCTTTCAGAACCTCTCCTTACCAGCAATTTATGATGTTCTCTCCACAAAGCCTGTCCTCAATAAGGTAATGCTTCTATTTTTGCAGGAAGTTTACAGTGGGGGTGTGTGAGGCAGACCACTAACTACTGTACATCTAAGGAAATCACAGTGGTACATTCAGGGTTTTTTAGATGGAAGCATGCACGTAAAACCAAAACAAATTCCATGCTACTTTGTAAAAGCAAAATGTAATTCCTGGAATAGCTGTTTTCCAAAGGCCCTACAGTTTTAAAGCTCTGAGTAGCCTGAGTCCTTTTGTCAAAGCTGGCTCTGGTTTGAGGCAGCATTTGCACTACACACATCTTAAGGACCCATCTAATCTGAATTAACCTCTGACCCATGCCCTTATAAGTAGCATGAAACAAGTTAATATACCTCATGGTTTAGGCATACTACAGTCACATTCTTGCAACAGATGCTTTAGTCTGAATTTGAGGTTTTGGTGTTTCATTTTTTTTTAAAAAAAAAAAGACTAAAAGGGTGAGAAGAGTTTTGGAGTGAGAAATTTAGCCACTATATTCAGACACAAGCTATTCATACTTGCATGTTGTTCACTAAATAATATAAATTTTAGTTGAACTGTTCAGCTAGTATCAGAGAGTTTTCAATAATTACTGTAATGAGGCTTTCTTCTTTTTTTTTTTCTTTCTTCTTCCTCCCACCTACGTATTAGCTGACTGTGTGCACAACGCTGATGGCAGTGGATAACGGTCATACAGAGACTTACCTGCGGGAATGCCCAGATCCCTGTAGTCCTTGGTAGTCCGGTACCTTTCCTATGTTGGAAGCTGCTTGTCTGAATTGGAGGTCCTCCAAGAAAAAATACTTCTGAAAAAAGATTTCTCAGCCTAACTCCTTTCTTCAGAAATCTGATGGCTATATATAAATGTCAATGAGCTTCTAACAATGGAGGACCCTATCTCACACTGGACTTTCTTGCTTTCTGATCAGCAGTTCTGCTGACGAGAAATGTATACTAATGTATGTTTGGTTTGATTTCAGCCATTTCTACCAAATTAGTTCAGCAGTTAGCTCTAGATCTCTTCAGTCTTAACAGTATTCTTGGTTTGGTTTGTAGTTGCCTTGTGGGTTTGTTGTTTTTTGTTGTTTGGCTGGGGTTTTTTTAGATTAAAATACTTCTAAAGCAAACATGAGGTAAAATGGCATCTATGAAGCATGAAAAAGAATTGGATATTAGAAGGCCATCTGGGACAGTGCAGTTCTGTTCTTCTTTCCTAAGCACTAAAGATGAAGTGCTAGTGTTCTGGTCCAATATGAGGATATCTCTAAGATGCCTTGTTATAAAATAACCTACCAAGGGTCATATCTAGTCACAGAAACAAGGTTTTAGGGAAATACCAACAATGAGATCTGAGCCAAAAAATGTCTTTTCACTGATTTATAGATCTTTTACTGAAGCTCTTTCTTGGCCTGTTAACAGTTTTTGGTTTGTTTTTTTTTTAATACAGATTTTTCTGTTGTCTCTAAAAAAATAAATGTTAATACAATAAATATTCTTAAGAACTACTTTCTTTGACCAGAGTACACATGAACTGATTTCATACCTCAGGGAAAGTCACCATGCATGTTACATATCACATGGCAGAATGGGCATTCACTTCAAATAGACTGATTTTAACAGTGTCTGAAAAAATGATTTATTTCTTAAACTAACAGTTAAAGCTATTACTGTAATGGGAAGTAGCCACAACTACTCATAGTGGTTGGGTTGTTTGGGGGAATTTCTTTTGGTTGGTTGTTTTTTGGAAAGTGGGGGAGGGAAGCCAAGTCAGACTGCACCATTGGCCAGAATTCAAATTAAGAAGGTAAAGGTCCTTTAGAAACAGAGATAAGTACAGGCACCCTAATATCCTAGGAAGCAGATAATGTAGAAGGCAGTAGCGTTATCTATGTCACTGGCTGCGTTGCTGAGACTAGTTTCCAGTGCCAACTCGTGTTTTGTAACATGTGAAGAGCAGACACTGGAGAATAGGCTTAGGCACTGGTATACGTGGTGGTTCACTTGTAATCTTCTCTTAACCACCCTAGGAAAGAAGTGATATTCATATGCCCATTGAGCCATGAATTTAAAGTTGGCACTGGTGTAAGGCATGTGTTTGCCGTGTCTTCAGTGTCTGCGGAGATGGTATTGCATAAAGCATTCTAACTAAAACCTGCAAGTTGTGACATCCAGTCACAATGGGATTCTTGATAGCCAGGACAGGCAAAACAGTATTAGTGAAGTGCAGAAGTTCAGAACAGAGGAGATTGCAGTTTTGTGTTCCAAACAGTAAAGGCTACTATAAGATTTTTTTTTTTTATAATTGCAAATTTAACACTAAGAAGTCTACACGAGGGGAAGCAAGTCATTGTCCATAAATCTGAGATGCAAAGTCAACTTTCATCCAAGTATGACTGGCTAAGTTTTATTTAGTATTGTTTCTTTTTTCTAAAAGAAACATTGAAAGATAACCTTTAATCATCCCTTGTTTCAGTACAAAGGATGATTGTTGATGAATGAAACTTGTTTCGGTTTCAGCAAACTGTAACAGGTCTCCCTCCATCAACACTGGAAGAAGCAGGGACAAAAGGAATGCTATTTGCCAAATAACTTTATCAGCTGATAAAGAAACATGGCTTCTGGCTGAATAAAATTACATTCTGGGCCTTAGAACAATGCCTGTAGTAGCACAGGCAAGAAGCAATTCAAAGGGGTGTAAAGCACTGACACCTTGAGAGCACACAGCAATCAGCATCCCACTGTTTAAACTGATGTTAAGAAAAGGGCTGGTCTAGTTGTACACTGAATTTTTTTTTTAACTGAAGTATGCAAGCAGAAGCGTGTTAGCATGATTGTACTACCAGAGTCCATTTTTAATCTCAGTCATGAATACTGAACCTGTGTAAACCAAAATCAACATAGCAGCATGATTTAGAGTAGGGAAAAAATCCATGTATAGTGTGAAATGCAGCTTCTGGGCCATTTGATTCGTATGGAATGGTTAAACCAAGTCAAATGTTACAGTCTGTACCATGAAGGGCACATCATATTCTCCTGAGTTTGCACCTTAATCTGGTAGGAGGTTCTTCAGATTTATTTGGAATTAGTTGCATAACAGCCATAATCAAATTACTTTGCCATTTAAAAATAAGTAGTAAGTCTGCTTGCTTAATTAGTCCTGTCCCACTTTAGCATCCGTGGAGCAAGGCAGTGTAGACTATTTACAGTCATTAACTAATGAGCTTTCAGTGTGTCCCTTGTGCAAGACAATGCACATTTCCACACTGGAAATTGCTTTACAGTTGCAAAAGCACAGCTAAATCCCATGGATGTCTGGCCAGAGCCCGCATGCCTATGCCTGCTATTGACTAAAATAAACAAAGCTGTTTAAAACCAAAAACCCCAACAACTCTGTCTTACTGTGTCTAGAAAAAGTGATGAATGTGATTAATTGCTTATTGATTTAACATTCATCTGTCAGCTCTGAAAGCACATGTTCTGAAGGTTTTCTCAAGCCTGACAAAAGTTTAATTTGCTCTTGTTACAGATAGAAATATCTATTTTTAACCTCAGTTTACTGCCTCCCCCTGCCTCTGCTGCCCTAGGCATTGTAATGGAAGCTATGAAATGTGTACAGCTACTTGTAACTTTGGGATTTAATTTAGTATGGGTTTGTTTTTCTTTTTTAAACTGAAAGACACAAAGAACACAAATGGGTATGTTTCTTCATATTCAATTGCTGTACACGTACTTGAGGTACCTCACAAACACTGAGAGGATGATCTGGGGTTTTTTTAGGTTTGTTTTTTCCCTAGGTCAAGTAAGCAACCACATGTATTTTATCTTTTAAATAAGAGATTTACACAGCTTTCCTAGTTCTGTTGTGAAAAATCATCAAATACTTGCAAAAAACCCATATATATGTAAACAACAAGACAAACTGTTTTTTATTATCACTGCATAGTCTAGTTCTATGAAGAACAGCCTCAGTATGTTAGCTTCCAGCAGATTTTTACTGTTAATGTGAATAAAAAGAGTTAATCCAGTGTATTCTGTACTTGATTAAATAAGGCATTGAAGGAAAGACACAGCACTTGTTTGGGTGCTGGCATTTAAATGCAAAAAAAATGTCATTTGACAAGAAAATTTTACACCTCTACAACTTCAGAAACCCATGCACTGAAGCCTCGTACCATTTCAGAGGCAGGAAGAATGGCCTCTCCCATGTCAAAAAGCAAAATGTTGGCAGCTAGTGAGGACAGGAGAATCTAGGAAAGGAATTTGATTCTATCAAAATCAAGCATTAATTTTGGGACACACATGAAAGTGAGTTTGCATTAGAGTCAGTTACAAGTTAAGGCTTTGCTTAGAAGCAAAACTCCAGAGCAGCGCCCATAGACGTCCTGGAAAGTATCTGCAATGAAAGCTGAGAGAGTAAATAGAAGACTTGAGCTGGAGCAAGCAGACATGAGGGACTGTGGCCTGACAGGAGCAGCTGAGAGGTTTAGGCAGGCACCGCAACTAACAAAATACTCCTCCCTCCCAGCACACACACCTGTCCCACCTTCACACAGACAGCTCTTTGGGCTACAAGGGGAAGGAGACAGAAACAAATGCAAACAAAGAGCTCAAAAGCTTGGATTTCACCTTAGTGGCAGCAGCAGGCAAATGACCTGTTTATGCCATGGATTGTCAGATGGACTCTCCTGCTTTTGGAGGACCAGAAGTGTTGGTGAGAAAGGCACACCCAAGCTCTCTGAGCAGCAAAACCTCTCATCCTTTGCACCAGAAAAACAAGATGAGCCAGAAAGAATAATGCTCAATCAAAGCAGGGGCAGAAACCACAGTTTGCCTTAGGAAGAAGTCTCCAGTTATTTATGCATTTTATAGGAAGCTGCTTTTGACTGTTAAGAGAGTCTGGAAACACAACATACCAATTGGCCAAATGCTGTGATCAAGAAGCAGGCAGACCATGCAGTTGTTCCCTTTAAGTCTGCCTACCAGTTTTTCAGAGCATCGTAATTTGTGGTATTAAAGATTTTAAAGTTCTTTTGTACCTCAGTCTACCCCCCCATACTCTTTTACTTAGAAATGAGGACAATAGTTACAAAGGAGTTGGTCTGTTTACATACTGAGAAGCACTGTACTCAGGACACTTTCTGATCTACAGTGAATCAGCTCTGAATTATATTAATTGTATATGGGACAACCTCTCTCGGTCTAATTTGTTTTGCAAAGTTTGTTCTCCTAGCTCAAGGTTTATGCATGAGCAAAAGAAGAATCCCAGTAATGAGGCTGCCTCTGTGGGGTATTCTGTATTTAAAGTAACTCCAGTCATAAGGCTTGCTTAAGGTTTTCCACTATTAGCCTTGCCTGTCTTTCAGTCTTGCTGAGCTTTCTCTATTAGGCAAATGTAGAAAAAAAATCATCTCTAGACTTTTCCCTCTTTATATTTCAATGAGAATGATTCCTCTCAGAAAGATAAACACCAAAAAAAAATTTTTTTGTCTATAAAAAAATATAGATCATGAGCACAGAGTTGGGGCAAAGTGCTCAAGTGCCATCTTGTTTTTAAAGTGGAACTTTAATTCAAGTACCCAGAGGTGTTTGGATTAGACACAGCCTTTTCCCGGGCTACACTCACTGTCTGAATTACACCAGTATTTAAACCTTTCAGTTCACATATAATTTGCATCAGCCCAGTTCCCAAAATGCTATATTCGCATTCCTGCAAGAGGTGTAAAATGCACCATCCCCTGAGAGCTGGAAACAGTTCTGTTAAGAGAACCCCATGCACCTGCAGGAGGTATACCTTCTGCATGAACCAGGTGGGTGAAAGTAGAAGTGACTGGGATGGAGAGAGGGAAACAGGGTGGGGGGAGAGAGAGAAGCAGGAGCCAGAGTCTCAGGAGATGTCAGAGGAAAGAGAAATCAAACAGAAAAGGAAGACAGCGGAGAGTAGCAGGCTATGAATATCTAGCAACTGCAGAGTACTCCTCTATTGACCCTATTATGCCCTAAATTCAGCACTCCTTTGCTGTCATCTGAAACCCCAACGAAAATGTGCCTCCCCACCCGCAGCAGCCTTTGGTTAGTAAGTGCTGTTACCACATTTTTTCAAGTTTTGCTGAGAGACAGTAGATCTAAGCTCTAAAAAAAA